ATCTTTGAGTACAGCTTCATTTGTAGTTCACCTGTTTAGTAATGCACCACAACTTAATATCGTTATCTTTAGAAATTGTATTACAGGTGCTGTTATGAATAATGTGATCAGAGAGTGCTTAAATAGAAGAGTAAAGTTGGAATTACAGCAGCTGGGTTTCTTTGGTACTGATCTAAGTGACATTGATGGTTCTTCATTTGCATCCTTATTCATTTCACCAAAACTAAATATACTTGGCATGTATAATTGTAGTTTATCAAGTGTTATTCTGAATGATATGATTGAAGAATGTTCTAGTAGAGGAGTCAAGTTGGAATTAAAGTTGCTAGCTATCAGTGATAATAATCTCAGTAACATTGATGGGTCTTCATTTGCATCCTTATTCATTACGTCTAAACTGTGTAAACTTGGCATGAATAATTGCAGTTTATCAGGCGTTACTATGAATGATATGATTAGAGAGTGTTCTAGCAGAGGAGTCGAGTTGGAATTAGTGGAGCTTTATGTCAGTGGTAATAATCTCAGTAACCTTGATGGGTCTTCATTTGCATCCTTATTCATTACGTCTAAACTGAGTAAACTGGTCATGAATAACTGTAATCTATCATGTGTGGTTATGAACGATGTGATTAGAGTGTGTTCTAGCAGAGGAGTCAAGTTTGAATTAGAGTTGCTAGCTATCAATGATAATAATCTCAGTAACATTGATGGGTCTTCATTTGCATCCTTATTCATTACGTCTAAACTGTGTAAACTTAGCATGAATAATTGCAGTTTATCAGGCGTTATTATGAATGATACGATTAGAGAGTGTTTTAACAGAGGAGTCAAGTTGGAATTAGAGGTGCTAGATATCAGTGATAATAATCTCAGTAACATTGATGGGGCTTCATTTGCATCCTTATTCATTACTTCTAAACTGAGTAAACTGTTCATGTATGACTGTAATCTATCATGTGTGGTTATGAACGATATGATTAGAGAGTGTTCTAGCAGAGGAGTCGAGTTGGAATTAGTGGAGCTTTATGTCAGTGGTAATAATCTCAGTAACATTGATGGGTCTTCATTTGCATCCTTATTCATTACTTCTAAACTGAGTAAACTGGTCATGAATAACTGTAATCTATCATGTGTGGTTATGAACGATATGATTAGAGAGTGTTCTAGCAGAGGAGTCGAGTTGGAATTAGAGGAGCTTTATGTCATTGGTAATAATCTCAGTAACATTGATGGGGCTTCATTTGCATCCTTATTCATTACGTCTAAACTGAATATGCTTGGCATGAACAATTGCAGTTTATCAGGCGTTATTATGAATGATATGATTAGAGAGTGTTCTAGCAGAGGAGTCGAGTTGGAATTAGTGGAGCTTTATGTCAGTGATAATAATCTCAGTAACATTGATGGGGCTTCATTTGCATCCTTATTCATTACTTCTAAACTGAGTAAACTGTTCATGTATGACTGTAATCTATCATGTGTGGTTATGAACGATATGATTAGAGAGTGTTCTAGCAGAGGAGTCAAGTTGGAATTAGAGTTGCTAGCTATCAATGATAATAATCTCAGTAACATTGATGGGTCTTCATTTGCATCCTTATTCATTACTTCTAAACTGAGTGAACTGTTCATGTATAACTGTAATCTATCATGTGTGGTTATGAACGATATGATTAGAGAGTGTTCTAGCAGAGGAATCAAGTTGGAATTAGAGTTGCCAGCTATCAATGATAATAATCTCAGTCACATTGATGGGGCTTCATTTGCATAATTATTCATTACGTCTAAACTGAATATGCTTGGCATGAATAATTGCAGTTTATCAGGCGTTACTATGAATGATATGATTAGAGAGTGTTTTAACAGAGGAGTCAAGTTGGAATTAGTGGAGCTTAGTGTCAGTGGTATTAATCTCAGTAACACTGATGGGTCTTCATTTGCATCCTTATTCATTACTTCTAAACTGAGTAAACTGTTCATGTATAACTGTAATCTATCATGTGTGGTTATGAACGATATGATTAGAGAGTGTTCTAGCAGAGGAGTCGAGTTGGAATTAGTGGAGCTTATATGACAGTGGTAATAATCTCAGTAACATTGATGGGTCTTTATTTGCATCCTTATTCATTACGTCTAAACTGAATATGCTTGGCATGAATAATTGCAGTTTATCAGGCGTTACTATGAATGATATGATTAGAGAGTGTTCTAGCAGAGGAGTCGAGTTGGAATTAGTGGAGCTTTATGTCAGTGGTAATAAACTCAGTAACATTGATGGGTCTTCATTTGCATCCTTATTCATTACGTCTAAACTGAGTAAACTGGTCATGAATAACTGTAATCTATCATGTGTGGTTATGAACGATATGATTAGAGAGTGTTCTAGCAGAGGAGTCGAGTTGGAATTAGAGGAGCTTTATGTCAGTGGTAATAATCTCAGTAACATTGATGGGGCTTCATTTGCATTTTATTCATTACGTCTTAACTGAATATGCTTGGCATGAACAATTGCAGTTTATCAGGCGTTATTATGAATGATATGATTAGAGATAGTTCTAGCAGAGGAGTCGAGTTGGAATTAGTTGAGCTTTATGTCAGTGATAATAATCTCAGTAACATTGATGGGGCTTCATTTGCATCTTTATTCATTACGTCTAAACTGAGTAAACTGGTCATGAATAACTGTAATCTATCATGTGTGGTTATTAACGATATGATTAGAGAGTGTTCTAGCAGAGGAGTCAAGTTGGAATTAGAGTTGCTATTTATCAATGATAATAATCTCAGTAACATTGATGGGGCTTCATTTGCATCCTTATTCATTACGTCTAAACTGAATATGCTTGGCATGAATAATTGCAGTTTATCAGGCGTTACTATGAATGATATGATTAGAGAGTGTTCTAGCAGAGGGGTCGAGTTGGAATTAGTGGAGCTTTATGTCAGTGGTAATAATCTCAGTAACATTGATGGGTCTTCATGTGCATCCTTATTCATTACGTCTAAACTGAGTAAACTGGTCATGAATAACTGTAATCTATCATGTGTGGTTATGAACGATATGATTAGAGAGTGTTCTAGCAGAGGAGTCAAGTTGGAATTAGAGTTGCTAGCTATCAATGATAATAATCTCAGTAACATTGATGGGTCTTCATTTGCATCCTTATTCATTACTTCTAAACTAAGTGAACTGTTCATGTATAACTGTAATCTATCATGTGTGGTTATGAACGATATGATTAAAGAGTGTTCTAGCAGAGGAGTCAAGTTGGAATTAGAGTTGCCAGCTATCAATGATAATAATCTCAGTCACATTGATGGGGCTTCATTTGCATAATTATTCATTACGTCTTAACTGAATATGCTTAGCATGAATAATTGCAGTTTATTAGGCGTTACTATGAATGATATGATTAGAGAGTGTTTTAACAGAGGAGTCAAGTTGGAATTAGTGGAGCTTAGTGTCAGTGGTAATAATCTCAGTAACATTGATGGGTCTTCATTTGCATCCTTATTCATTACGTCTAAACTGAGTAAACTGGTCATGAATATCTGTAATCTATCATGTGTGGTTATGAACGATATGATTAGAGAGTGTTCTAGCAGAGGAGTCAAGTTGGAATTAGTGGAGCTTTATGTCAGTGGTAATAATCTCAGTAACATTGATGGGTCTTCATTTGCATCCTTATTCATTACGTCTAAACTGAGTAAACTGGTCATGAATAACTGTAATCTATCATGTGTGGTTATGAACGATATGATTAGAGAGTGTTCTAGCAGAGGAGTCAAGTTGGAATTAGTGGAGCTTAGTGTCAGTGGTAATAATCTCAGTAACATTGATGGGTCTTC